GTAGACTCTGGACCATCTTCTTAGTAACTGTTAGCTTGCCTGTATTTTTTGCATTTGATTATTTCTTTCTAAGCATATTCATTGTCCTTGTTTTGAATTCTGTTTTTAGCCCATTTCTACAATTTAAGAGTTGTTTGTTTTTAATTCCAGTGTTGTCCATCATACTTGCAGCCCTTCTCCTGGATGTGCCACCTGGGAACACGACAAGCAGAGTCATTACATTTCTTTCTGGAAGTGTCCTGTTGCCTTGACCAGTGCTCACAAAATCCCCTATGCCCCTAACTGCTCAAATCCTTCTGAATATCTTGCTGTAAATGTCCCTGAGACACTGCCATGTATCCAATAGGACATTCATAGAAGTGAATCCAGCTGTTTTCAAATATAGGCTAGCAGCTGGCTGACTTTTCTAAAAGTCACCCTATACTCTCATCCTCAGTGTGCAGTGATGCTTTTTTTTCTCCTGAGCTTATGTTATTTTCTTTGTACTTTGAAGTGACGATGGTGTCCAGATTGATTTGTCGTAAGCTGATTTTCCCTCAATCTTCCCAGTCCTCTAAATAATTATGGACCTGTTAAAGAAGCAACTTTGTTTATTCTCATTGAATTTATTCATTGTAAGAAGTCAAGCATGCACGTGTTAACTGTTTGCAACAGTGTGGCCTAGCACTAAGTTTCCTAACCTACTCCCAATAAAAAACCTCCCAAAAAAGAAGGTTATAATCACAGTTCAGGAGGGATTATGTATTAATCAAAGTCAGAGCAGCATCTCCATTAAAATTTGTGGGTTGTAGCGGCTGCAGAATATATGGCTTGGCCTAATGATGAAGAAAATTATTTTTTAATTATTTTTTAATTATTCTTTCTCAAAAATTCCATCTCATATTTGCCTTAATATTTTCCAGAAGGTGTGTACATCTTCTCAGTCACTATTCCAAAAAGCCCATCTTTGTACAGAGACGTATTGTCTTCTATCAGTGCAACAAATGAGGCTTTTCTCCATGCTTTTCCTTAAAGTCTAGGCAGTGGAGTTGGCATTTGATTTCTAAGCTTTTGATCCATACATAATCCTAGGGTGGCATGCATCCAGAGCATGCAGAGCGTTGGATATTGTGTACCTAATGAAGTAGCTGTTGGTGTACAGCACAGTGGGAGACTCTCTCATGTTCTCAAACAGCAGCTTTAGAGTCTGTCAGTGTTCCCTGGGTGGGTCTTTCGGGAGAGAGGCTGAAAGAGTTCCTCTGAAGCAGGGCCTCTTCTGTATGCTTCCCTTTCCCTGCAGTGAGTTTGCAATGAAAGTAATATTCAGCAATAGGTTTTTTGTTTTTCATCCTAGAGCTACTTAGGCTGCACTATCATTTCAAAGCAACATAATACTGTAAAATATGACATATAATTGCTCATTTCAAAACGTTCTCTTATACCACTGTAGATCAGGAGAATGTCCTCTGAAAAGAGTGGAATTATTCTCATTTTTTTTTCAGTGATAATATAATTAAAGAGACAGGAAAGCGATGAAATGTAGCAGTAATGAAATACAACTTATGACAGAAATGTTTCAGTCTTTCCCTGCTTACAAGACAGACAGCTGATGCAATCCTGATTGCCTATAGGCTTACGGTCCAGGTGTAAAGCAGTCCAGCTCTGGGGAGATGCCCAAAAGCGTGACTTGCTATAGCAAGCTTCAGGCAAATCTGATGTCCCGTTTCATTCAGTTATTCTTTACAATACAGAGAAGGATATAAGAGGTAAGAAAGCCCGAAGAGAAGAGATGAAGGTTATGCTGGATCACAGTTGCAGACCAAAGTCCTCTATAGTCTGAATCATCTCAGAAACTTCTTTGGAAACGAAAGGGCTTTGCAAAAACTGAGAACAGTGATGCAGTCTTAACTCTTCTCTACTGTTGTGCTTTACAAAACCTGAGTGTTTCTCCACAGGCAAGCTGGTGCAGCTTTGCTTCTGCTGTCCAGTTCCCTGATTTGGCAACTCGAAGAGAATAGAAAGCCAGTTTCTAAAAAAAACCCTCAGCCGTCCAGAGGGACCAGGACATCAGAATCACTAATGTAACATGAAAGGAGTGATAGGAAACATCAACAATTCCTGTTAAGCAGAGCAAATGATAGTAATATTCAGAGGATAAAGCCAAGATAGCACTGAACCTTTGACACTTCTAGGAGACTTAGCAATTGTGTAGGGAGAATATCTTTTCCAAAGTTTCTAAAAATGCTCTAGAAACCCTCAACCTTGTTGAAGCAAGGGCTCAGCTCATTTGGACAGAAGAACAGGTTATTATCAGTTAGGCATTTTACAGGATTGTCTGTGTCTTCTATTGCTTCTCACACGTAAGTTTTCAAGTGTGTTATAGGGTGGTCAATATAATTGTTCCTGCTATGCCGAAAGGCCACATAGGCACTCAGAGTTGATGATTTGCCTCGGGTTACCCAGAAGCAGAGCAGAGGACTCCAGACTGCCTGTTTAGTCCGTTAGTCACTCGGTCAGTGTTTCCTGAGAAGAATCCACCCGGGGAAGGTTCGCACAATATTTTCACACGAACAGAGATCACATCAGAGTTTTAACACCTCAAACTGACAAAGGTGAAGCAGGAGCACAGAGGGATGCATTAATTTTCTTCTAATCTCACAGCAGGTTAACACGACAAACACGGCTCCAAGCCAGGTGCTGTGCCTTGCTGACGAACAGCCTACCCCCAGGCCAGGTTGGCTGAGCCAGGGTCCGTGCTTACACTCTCTCCTCCTGAGCTGGCACCCTATTTTCACCTGGAGGTGGAAGAGAGAAGTGATAATATGAGATATATTTTGCACACCAGTGAAGTACTAGGAACAGGAAACAAAAAAAGTCTCAGGCAAAGGGGAACAAAATAAGAAGAGAATTTAGAAATGCCATACCATGTATTTCACATTTGGCAATTTGTACTTCAGAGTTAAAACATTAAATTGTTTTACGTGCCCTTTGAAAGTGTGAGACTGCATGCATGAAGAAAGTACTGATTTCCCTTATGTTTTGAACAGGGAGCCATATGTTTTGAAAATTAAAAAGAACAATTAATCTTGGAGTATTAAATCTGCCCATCTAGGTAGCCGACTAGCTTTCTCACAGAGATGGCTGTCCCATAACGAAGCTAAGGAAACAAGGTTCAGAAACGTAAACATTAATAGGTGTACAGGAACATATATTAGGAAAATTGACAATTTTAACTACTTTAGTTTACTTTCATTTGCTGAGTTCCCAGGCTGACATCAGAAGTTACATCTGTCAGGTTGCTAGCAGGGTGGGATATGGAGGCAGAGGGGCATAGGGACAGGATAGGCTCAGTCCCCATGTTGACAGTAGGATGTGCAATGACAGCATATTATCTGATGTAAGAAATCCCTAATAGAAATAGGAGCTTCCCAACGTCTCCATCAAACATGGAAAGTACTGTGTAGGGGTGACTGTTAGCTCAGCAGGAGCTTCCAGGACTCTGGACACTTAAATCACATCATTATTACAGACACCTCTGGATTCTCTGATTGAGGTTTTCCTATTTTGCTTGGGAGGATTATGGATGGAAGGAGGATTAAATGATGAAGTGAATCACGTGAGAGTGAGGGAATGCCTTCACGATGGAAGAAAGGGTCACTGGAGGAGACCTTTTTATTTCAGTGCATTGTGTGGAATAGAAATATACAGATTTAAGGCATTATGGTGCCTGACACTGTGCTTAGATGCACAAAGTTTGTGTGTTTTGCCTGTTTTGATTATGAGATCCTTGGAGTAAGGACTGTGGGTTTTTTAAATCACCTAGCACAATATTGCCCTGGTCTTTGTGCAGTCCTGGAACGAAAACATTAATGATGATTGTTTCTCATGGCAGAGGCTATGGCAGGCTGTATTTACAAAGAGATCCAGTTTATCTGATTTAATTATTTTCTGCTTAAACAAAACCTGTTCATCTTAGTTTTCTGTTCGTTTGGGTTTGATTTTTAAATACCATATTCAGGTGAGAAATGTCTCTTTGCAGTATTTCACAGTTACTTTTGTGTGACCCGAGTAAGTTTATAAAAATCAGAATGTATGTAGCCCCAAATGTCAAATATATCATTACAGTTGGTTTTCAATGTCCATTTCACTCTGTTGGTTTTGTGCTCGACTGCTATCATGGAGCAAGAGGTACCAAGCCAGGGCCTCGTTGGTATCAACCACTGGACAGCACTCAAAACATCTAGCCATTTGACAGGCGAATGCAAAATCTATAAACCAGTGTGACGAACCACCTGCTACTCCTCTCCTACTGTTCCATCTTCTATTCTGCCAATACAAATTACATTAATCTATATCACTAAGAAATCTGTAGACTCTAACAGAATGTCAGCCTTCAACTCTGCTGCATGTATGAGAAAACAAATAGGAAATAGGAGCACTGGTACACTTTTTCCACGCCATTGATTATTTTATGGAGTTCTTTCTCACATCTGTTGTTACGTGATTCCTCTATAACATGGCCACGTTTGACTTAGTAGCTGCTTAGCTGAAAAAGAACAGAAGGTACTTCACCATTTCTCTAGCCTGCTTTCAGATAGTTGTCATTTTCCTTTAATTTTTTGCTTTTTATGACTTATAATTAAATAACAGAGAAGGAGCTACTCTGGAATTTGCTTTTAAGGCCAGGTACATTCCAGGAACAAAATTTCGAAGCATTATTTACATACAGTTCTGAGAAATACATGCTATTGTAGTTATTCTCTTATTTAATTGTGATGAAATAGAATCCAGCATCTGATTTTGGAATACTTTTGTGTCAGTATAGGCTATTTTCTGACTCACCTTGGTGAGTAGACTATGTGAGTCTCATGACTTGAACAGGTGAGTGTTAGAGGCATCTGTATAAAAGGCTACAGTTTATGTTTATCATTTTAGCTGAAGAGAAAAGATGGGGAAAGTAGAATGGGGATCCATATTTATCAGCTAATTTTTGCCTTTCTAAACACTGTTTTATTTTGCAGGTGATGGAAATTAAAGGACAAATGATTCATGTGCCAGAATCAAATTCGATTTTGTTTCTGGGTTCCCCCTGTGTGGACAAGCTGGATGAACTGATGGGCCGAGGCCTCCATCTTTCAGACATACCTATCCATGACGCTACTCGCGATGTCATATTGGTTGGGGAGCAAGCAAAGGCCCAGGATGGCTTGAAAAAACGAATGGATAAACTGAAGGCAACCCTAGAATGCACACATCAAGCCCTGGAAGAGGAGAAAAAGAAAACTGTAGATCTCCTTATTTCTATTTTCCCTGAAGAAGTGGCTCAGCAGTTGTGGCAGGGGCAGCAGGTTCAAGCCAGGAAGTTTGATGATGTCACCATGCTCTTCTCAGACATTGTTGGCTTCACTGCCATCTGTGCGCAGTGCACGCCCATGCAGGTCATCAGCATGCTGAACGAACTCTACACACGGTTTGACCATCAGTGTGGATTCCTGGACATCTACAAGGTAACAGTTCAAGTCCTAAGTCAGCAAAATCTGATTGAAACTAAGGTAGAAAAAAATCCCAACAGCCATCTTTCTAAATTACAGACCTTCCCGATAGAAACAGAAAGGCAATATTTTTGTTTCACATGAAAAAAAATAAATCTGAAATATGCCCATTGAAAATCAAATGCTTTGATGCTGAGCTGTCATCATGGTTCCCCCATGGGAATATATGCCTCATATTCCCATTTTCCTATAGGAACATACACTTCCTGTACTATAGCCTGATTTCCTTTTGGTGACACATCAGCCACAGTGTCCTAAGGGTGATGAAGTGCACAGTGATGATCCTAGCCCAAGCTGCAGCTCCTGCAAGGCACTTAAATACTTTCTGTTTCAGCTGAAACTTCAATGGGTTCAAGCACTTCAATGGGTTTAAGCACTTCCCTTTCCCATGAAATAATTCAAAATTTCCATAAAAAGCAGAGCATTCACTAAAAAAAGTGTTATAAGTGATTTAAAATTCTGCTGAAAAACAGGAAGAGAACAGCACATGTCCACTCATAGCAAATGGAATAGGTGGGACATGGCACTGGGCTGCCATGCTCCTTTGCTGCTCTGCAGAAAAGGAGATGTTGCATGTGTTCGTCCTGTTACAAACTTCATCACCTTCACTTCTCTTCAGTGGATTTGGTGTCCAGTATGTATTTGAGATAAAAAGAGAGGAGGTAGAATTTAATAAATACAGTCAAGATAATTAATGTGGAATTATCTGGTGAAATCTACAGAGAATATATTTTGTACATGGAATACCTTTAATTTTGTGGTAGGAAATTTCTTTTTACAACTGACTATACCACAGAAAAAAGATGTAGTTGTAAAGTTATATGTTGACTTTATTTTCTGTCTGAGGCTTGCAAACTAAATCACCACTTTTCAGACTGTTTCAAACAGTATTTGTTGATAGACAGAGAAAGGTCTTCACAAGAATGCTATCCCTTTAATTCTTAGCCTCTAATACAATTTAAAAGGCATCCAAAAATATTAATTACTTAGCTAAATAATAATTGTGGCTGAAAAGTTACGATGCATACCACAGATAGAAGTGAACATGGTATTGGTATAGGTTAGTAGGACAGTACACCAAAGTAAAAGATGACATTGTAAAAAAGTTTTGTGCTCCTGGGCTAGCGGTTTGTGTTGCTAATGCTGAAAGGTCAAAGGCCATGTTGGAAGAGGACTACGATGGAAGGTACCAATCCTCATTTGAAAATTGTTATGGTGGTATAGTCAGAAAAGATTGGAAGTTTGATCTCAACTTGTATTTATCTGATGTTACTGCACTGGATATCGAGCCAGGTCTGAGAACAGGACTTGAGGAACATCTGACCCACAATCGAGAGTGATATCTAGTGACCCTGTTTCACATGCTGTATCTGGTACATGGCTGTAGTTAGTGTTTTCCCAGATGATTAATTTTAGTCAGCTGTTTTGAGGCACTTGGAACATTCTTTGTTGGAAACTATGGTTACATGGGAATAGGAAATAAAGTATGTAAAACTCTATGACCTGTTTGGAAGGAAGGTTGGCGGAGTTCTGTGAGAACACTAAGAAGCAATATTTGTATATAGGTCATGAATATTATATCATTTACACCATGGCTTACTGCCTTTCACCTAGCTTTGTGCAATTTTAGACAGAAAGATGTTACTGTGTGGAAATATTGTCCTCACCAGTGAAACAAGATGATGGTAGTGAGACAGGCAAGATAAGATTTATGCATTCAAGAAAGGAATAAACACTCCAAAAAGTTAGGACCCTATGTAATTCGATGAGCAGAGGAGTGAACAAACCCTATTTTTCTATGGAAGGATGTCTTACACCTCTAACACCTTTTCCCACTGCCACTCCCCTAATATAGCCAGTTCTTTCTCAGATCCTTTCATCCTGGGTTTTCCTCCATCTCCCCACTCCCCCACCTCCCCTGAGCCTCCCTACACATCTCCTGCTTCCCTCCACAGCCCATCTGTGAGCAAGGCAGTGTGCACTGTGACTATTTTGAAGCTGTATGTAAGATTTTTTCTCCCCTCAAATCTTCTTTTGATTTCTTGTTTAAATAGAAATCTAAAAAAATTACTGTAGGGTTAGGTGAAAATTACTCAGTTTGGCATTACAGAAAGACAAAACTCAGGCAATGAACCATTTTTCTTTCCTTAGAGAATCAGACAAAGTAAAATGACAATTCTTTTGAAGAAGCATTGCATTTTAAAATAAAAATAGCTTGTGTGTTTATATCTTTTTCATTTGTTTCAGATGATATTCTGGAAGCTACGTTTATTGCTAGAAATGATCACCACTACGGCAGCTATAATTTTATAAGTTATTGTCAGGCAGTGAATTTTAGATATGTAATCACCAATGTTTGTACCCACAGCCTGCCTCTAAAATACACTCCGAATTTAGGTTACAGAAATGTATCATGTGACCTATATATACATCAAAACAGACTACTTTTCAAATTTGCTTGTTTTTAAGCAACATGGCAAAAATAATTTACAAAGATGAATGAGTACTTCTGAATAACAAATTCACTGTTTTGTAAACAGAAAATTATGCGAAATTAATTAAATAAATTCCATACTGTAAATTATTCACCCAGCTTAACTGTTACAGCGTTTAGAATTCAGAACCTCGGTGTTTCTAATCTTGGATTCAGACAATGAACATAATATTTTCAATTGTCTCATACTATTCATTCAGGGATGTTTACATAGAAGTATGGCACAGAAAGAAGAACAAAGATCCTCGCATTTAACAAGTCAGTCATAGGATCATAGAGTTATAGAATCATAAAATGCTTTGGTTTGGAAGGAACCTCAAAGATCATCTAGTTCGAACCCCCCTGCCGTGGGCAGGGACACCTTCCACTGCACCGGGTTGCTCAAAGCCTCATCCAACCTGGCCTTCAACACTTCCAGGGATGAGGCATCCACAGCGTCTCTGGGCAACCTGTTCCAGTGTCTCACCACCCTCAGAGGGAAGAATTTCTTCCTTATATCTAATCGAAATCTGCCCTCTTTCAGTTTAAAGCCATTGCCCTTTGTCCTATCACTACATGCCCTTGTAAAAAGTCCCTCTCCAGCTTTCTTGTAGGTCCCCTTTAGGTACTGAAAGACTACTGGAAGGTCTCCCTGGAGTGTTGTCTTCTCCAGGCTGAACAACCCCAACTCTCTCAGCCTGTCTTCATAGGAGAGGTGCTCCACCCCTCGTACCATCTTTGTGGCTCTCCATTGGACTCACTCCAACAGCTCCACGTCCTTCTTATGTTGGAGGCCTGTCATGGTTTAGCTCAGCCGGCAGCTCAGCCACCATGCAGCCACTCGCTCGCTCACTCCTTCCCCTCGGTGGAGTGGAGAGGAGAAAAATGTAACAAAAGGCCTGAGGGTCAAAATAAGAACAGCGAGGAATCGCCCACCACCATGGCCCCCAGAAAAATGGGCTCGGCTTGGGAATGAATTGATTTATTTTGTTAACAGTTCATTCAGGGACGACAATGAGAAACAAAGCCAGATCTTAAAAACACCTTCCCCCTCCCCTTCCCTTCTTCCTGGCTCCACCTCCTCCCCCAGCGGCACAGGGGGACGGGGAATGGGGGTTGCAGGTCATTTCTCACACATTGTTTCTGCCATTCCTTCCTTAAAGAGGGAGGACTCCTCACACTCTTTTCCCTGCTCCATTGAGGCCCTCCTCATGGGAAAACAGTCCACAGACTTCTCCAATGTAAGTCCTTCCCACAGGATGCAATCCTTACCTATCAGATTGCTCCAGCAAAGGCTTCTTCTCCACACAGTCACGGCTTCTTAGGGCACAGCCATCTGCTTCAGCGTAGTGTCCACCATGGACTTCAGATGCGTCTCGGCTTCATCGTCTGATGTGTCTCTGCTCCACCGTAAGTCTCCAGCAGTGTGGAGGGTCCTTCCCTTGGAGATAGTCCTCTATGAACTCCCTTAGGCACAGGCATCTCTGCTCAAGAGTGGGATTCTCCATGGGCCGCGGGTGGGTCTCCACTCCACCATTAATCTCCACAGGTGCCAGGGGGACCGCTGCCTTCTCACCATGGGCTGCAGGGGAACCTCAGCTCTGGCACACCTCCTCCCGCTCCATCTTCACTGACCTGGTGTCTGCATGGCCGTTTCTCTCAGGTCTTGGTTCTCTCTCTGCTGCATCTGCACTGGGCCTGACCAGCCTGACGAACCTGACAGTCCCGGCAGGATGAACTCGGCTCAGGGAGCAGGGAGCTTTGGAGCTCTCCAGGCTGCACCACCGCAGCCATCGCCAGTTGAGTGGTGGTGGCCCAGCATGGGCAGCTGCCCGCCCAGGAGGCCAGAGGAGGCCATTGCCTTGCCTCCCCCCTCTCTTCACTGCAGATCCCACCTTGTTCAAGTTCAGGTTTCTTTGTCCCCTTCTTAAATATGGCATTCTCAGAGCTGCTGATTGGCTCAGCCCTGGTCGGAGGGGAGGCGGTCTGACCTGGCCAGAGACCCCTCTGGTCAGTTTCACAGCCCAGGAAGCTTCTT